TATTTTAATTTTTGGACAGAAAGGCTGAGAGTTATGAAGTGTTTTGTTACATCATTTCAGAAAAGTGACGTGACTGGTACAAAAACAAGCATTCAGTGCCTGATGGAGGACAAGAAGGTGAGAAAGAATTAGGGTGGCTGGTTTGAGATATGCTTATTTCTGTAGGAGACTACTGGAGGCTGTCGTCCTCAGTTTATAACCTCTCCGTATTTGTTGTACTGAGGATCCCAGTTTAGTGGATGTTGCTCCATCACCAACAGGCTTGCTTTTGTTTCTCATCTCCATTGATTCCTTGCGGGGTCAGAGGAACGGAGGTTGAAATCCCTGACCTAGGAGAATTGTCTTCTACTTCTCCCCCCTCTTGCCCAAATAGCTCCTTTTTGAAAGCCTGATTTATGTGATAATTTGCAAGGGTAGGTCAGTGTGGTCTCAATGGATAGTTTTCTGCTTGAATAAATCATGATGTGATAACACAAAACTACACAATATATTTGCCAGAAAGTGTTTCTAAATTATATGGGAAACTGGCATTGAATTAAAATCAAATTTAGTGTTGTTGCTCTCATTTTCCCCATGCTCCAATTTCAAGCAAAACAGCACAGGGTGAATGCAGGCTTTATATGTCTTTGTGGCTCAGTTTTTGAAAGTAGCATGAATGCCTGGCTCATCTGCTCTGCAGTCAAGCATCTCCTCTCTTCTCTCTGATGTTCTACTAAAGTTTATGCCTGGATAGGGGTGTAGAGCCAGGTAGTTTGAATGTAGTGTGAGTTAATACCTCAATGCACCTCATGCTTATATTTCAGATACAGTACAAAGCGAGCCAAAAGATCCATGTGATTTAAAAAAAAAAAAAAGGGAATTAAGTTCCTAAAGTTTAGATACTTAGATACTCAGTTTACTGTCAAAAAAACCTCTGCATTTCACAATTGTGACGACAAATAAAAGCAAGTGGTGAAAACACTAATACTTTTGTGGCAAGCACATGATATTATTAAAATGACAGCACATAGAGACCTTGATTGCATGCTGTATGCTGGGGGACCTCTCCTCTGCTCTGTCCTCACACATCTCATACAAAACAACTGGTAGATGAATACACTCAGGGAAGGCAAGGCAAGTGAAAGAATCTGTATGGCTTAAGAATGAAAACTGTCCATGTTCCTATAATAAAGCTAAGTGGTTCTGTAGTGCTGAAGTAAAACCAAGGTTTAAGTCAGAACCTAGTTTGCACAGGGGATAATAATAAGAAAAACTAGAAAAATTTCCTCTAAGGCTGTTACTGAATTGTATTGCTGAAAAGAAGAAATTCCCATCTTAAGATCATGAAGTGTTTGTTGGCTACAACCTGATATAAATGTAAAGATTATACAGTTTTCATGATTCTGACTGTTCTGGCTGTTTCAAGATTGAAAGCAAAGAGTTACTTATGCTGCTGTATATGTTAGGATATTCCAAAGAGTTCAAATGACAGAAAAAAAAGTTATAAAGGGAGGAAAGTCATGCCAAATTTGTGACAAATGAAATGGTTGTGTTTGCTCTAGTAGTAAGGCAACCGTAAGGAGAGAAAACTGGAGATCAAGAATAAAGTAAGAGAGAAAAGTGGATCTAGCAGTACTGAATGCAATAGGATGCTTTTTAAGCATGGAGAATGAGATCCTGGCCCTTTGTGAATTCAACAGAAAACAACTGTATGAAGCTTAGTTTTTATTCCAGGCTAAGGAAATGCTTCAATAGTCCAGCTATGTTTGTGCCAGCTATGTTACGTAGTCAAAAAGAAGATGCTGCCCTGCAAATTGTGCCCTGACATGCACACAGGTAAAGATCTTTTCTTTAACGTTATGCTTAAGAATAGTCTTAGATGAGGACCTCTTCACAGAAACTGATCAAACTAAGAAGGACAGATGTCGTCCAGTCCAAAGACTTTATGAGATAGTGTTATTGATCACAGTAAACCTGTGACCTTGTTGCTTTCAAGCCTTTCATCCTTGTTAGTGAGGATGACTTATGGATGACTGTGAAGAAATGTAATGAAGTAGCTTTCTTAATATTTAAGGCTGGCTTCTTCCAAACACAGGACCCACAGAGCAGAAAGCTTAATAGTGTGTGTTTGGAAACTTAACAACCAGATGATGAAGAAGGTATCATGTGGCCATTCCACACTAAAACTGTTTTTAAAACTGCGCATAAGTTGCATCAGTAAGGTACAGAGAAGGTTGATGAGAAATACTGGCAATAAATACTGATATAGAAGATTCAGTGAGCTTATTTAAATAGGTAAATAGTTTGTTTAATGTTTTTTAATGTTTAATGTTTGTTAATGGTTTTTAACTTGGAGAAGAGGCAGGTGATGGGTCTGTAAGATAGTAAATTTCTCTGATTAGACAAATAAGAAATCTCAATTCAGTGTTTCTCATAAGATCTTCATACAGTTTATGACAAAGCACATAATAATCTCGAAGAGGAAGTGCTTATTTTTTAAACAATCCAGCAGCAAGTGCTGAACTCATTGTCACAATGTGTCTTGGCTCCCAAAATGCATGTAGAAGACTCCAAAAGTAGTGAAATTTGTGGTGAAAAGATCCACCCCGAACAATCTTAATACCATGCAGCCTCCCACTCAGAGTTCCTAAAGGTGCTAGTCAGAAGCTGTGTGAAGAGAAAGCCTCGCTTGCCTGCTTGCCCTGACTCTACATTCTTTTCCTAATTAGCTGTTGGCTGAAATCAAAGACATAATAATGGCTAATTGTCTTTTGTAGCCATCTGTTATGTTTTGTCAGGACTAACCCAACAGAGCAATTTTGGGTTAAGCTGTTTCTTTCTTCCTTTAATTCTGTAGTTGTAGTATACTGCAGTTAGGAGATGCATAGCATTAATGGATCTTTGATTGCTTTGATGAGCTCGCCTTTCATAGAGAAGGCATTGATGTTGTTTGGCTTCAAAACTTTATGGAGATGATATCAAGTTCTGAAAAATTTTTACATCTGTATAAAAATGGGTCATCTTAGACTGCCTAAACAGGTGCTTTGCTCTGTATAGGGCATTCACACAGTATGCTGAACTGTAATAAGACATGAATGGTTCTATAAAATTATATTGATCCAGCACTTTACCATATGATGTCCTCACAGAAGTGCATGTTCTCACTTGCAGGTACAAGGATTTATGATGAAAATTCTTAGTTCTCTAAAATGAAACAGTACTCAAAATGTATTCAGTAGGCTTCATAACGCAGCACACTAGGGTATGTAAGTTAAAGGAATATCTGTATTGCGTGAATTCAGTATAAGGGCTGGTTTCCATATGGGGCTTAATATGATATGTTTCTTTCTAAACTAACGAAAGCACTTGCCAGTACTTAGAGTTGCCAAGTTGTATGTAATGTATGAACACTGAAGAAGCATTTTTCCTCAAACTGAAAGGAAAATTCAACTCTCTTCCCCTTCCCTTTCCCTTATTCTTTTCTTCTTCCTCAGTAGGACTGAATATTCCACATCTTGGATGTCTTGCTTTCTAGTATTTCAAAGCATTTTAAAATGAAAAGTTGAAAGTATAGAAGGTAAAGCAATGCAAATTCTATGTCAGGTTACCCCAGTGGGCTTTCTACTGACACCCTGGGTGCTGAAAATGGCAGTGGCATCCTCATAGTTTCAGAGATGGCTGCTTTGTGCATCTGAGCTTTGGCAATGGCAAACTGGAAGCGGTGGATTTTGGTTGAGATCCAGTCATGGAAAATCAATGGCCTGGTGATTCCAGCATTGATGTTTTGTCATGTCTATCCACATTAACTGACTTGCACTGGCACTATTTAGAAACAAAAATCATTTAACTGGCAAAATATTTATCTATTTTCTGATTGAAAAAAAATATTAATTCTGCAAGATAGTCTTCTTTTGAAATAGTAAAACAATTTCAGAGGGCTTCACTCAGAGCAGTTTCAGAAACCAGAACAGTGGGGTTTCTGCCCACACACAAAACCATTCTGGTCTACTCTGTTGCTGAATGCCTTTATCTGCAAAGTCATTTTTGGACAACTCACCAAGATGAAGCTATTTGTTAGTGAAAATGTTCATTTTAGCTTTGCAGGATTGCTCCCTGTGATGTTCTTTTGTTAAACACTGATTATTATTATTATAATGTTCATGATTATGAAATAAATCTGCTTTTAAATATTTATTGCAAGTTTAAAAATATGTTTTCTTGACATGTGGTGTTTAACTGAATTGCTGGTGTATACCTGCAATGGAGATAAAACAGCATGGGAATCCTCTTTTTGTGATAACAATGTAAGTAGGTGACACTGCCAGTATAGAAAATGTTTCATATTTCTCAACATTCTGAAAATGTCATAAATGTCATCCTTGCTCATTTCAGCTGCTGGAACTGATTTTTTTTCAAGAACAATATTTATGAAGTATGTAGTTGTATAAATTTAGAGAAGTACACATTTGGTACTTGACTCTGGATTTGCTATTGATATAGTGGAGATTTTATGTAATTATACACCTTTCATTACTGAATTATCTATTTTAAAGAAATATTTTAATTATTTGGAGTTCATTTGATCTAAAATGATGCATGGTGATGTTTTTCTTGGAGTTTTAAAATGAATGCGTTTTAAAAAATATATTTGCTTCACTAAGTCAATAGAATAATATTTTGGGGAATGTAATTTTGAATCTTTGTCTAATGCACATTTTTCTTCATCAAAATGTTACAACAGTAAAAATAGTTGCGTTTGTCATTTAATTAACATGACTTTTGTAGATTTTGTGGATGTTGTGTTCATTTTGCCTTAGTAGTGTAAAGCTTGCAGCTCACTGACATGCTCAAGTGTATTCTGAGCAATAAATCCTAGCCTGGCTGAATGACAAAACTTGAGCAGCTCAACACAAGTCTTTTTGTGGTTTATTGCTTGGGTTAAATAAATTACTTATCTTAATGTAATGTATATTAATATCAATGTTTCATGAATATTGACAAAAATCTTTTTAAACTTGCAGCAAGTAGTGGCAGCAATAAATGCAGGAATCATACCTTTAGGAAACACATCTACTCAGATCAGTCACTGGGACTTGGGAAGTTCCTTCTTCTTCGCTGGCACTGTTATTACCACCATAGGTAGGACACAGCTTATTACCTTTTTATAGTAAATGAGCTGAATCTCTTTTGATTTCCAATGTGTGCATATATTTGTCAATGGTGTATCTTCCAAATCTTCTATTTATTTATTATTTTTGAACTAGAGTTATTCTTTAGTTTCAGGGGCAGAAGTGAGAGCTGTCTTTAAGGATCCCTAGCTGAGTAAATAGCTCTGCAATAGAAGACAAATATTATTGTAGATTTCTGTGAGGTGATTAGAAGAGGCTATGGAAACATTTTCTGGGGGGAATTTGGTCAACTGTGTAATTATAAGTGTTAAATAGGGCATGATTTAAAGCACATGTGCATTAAACCTTGACTGAGATGTATGGAATTTCAAGTCTGTATAATCCGACTTTTATGTTGTTAAAGAACTAAGGTTTGAGTAAGATAACAACATGGTAAGGATTCAGTTCAACTTATTCAGTTATGAACACTGTGTTGGTGGGCAGATTCACATCCAAGAGCTTACTCTCAGGCTTCTGCTGCATTCAGGAAGGTCTAAAGCTGTCAGGTGATTTGACCATGATCAAAAGCCCACTGAATTTTCTGCATACTTTCTGCACATCAGAGCCACTGTCCCTCTGGGCGTGGTGTGAGCAGGAACAGCATTTGACCTTTCAGTTTCTTCCCCTTGACTAGAATATAGTGCACATGGTAAACAGTTCAGCGGTGCGGTATAACTCCCAAGTCATAGAATGGGCATCCACAGTGGGGACTGGAAATTTGAGGAAGAAATCAGATGAAAAAACTACATGTCTAAGTAATGTGTAAGGAATTGTGATGTTGTGTAATTATTATATATATGTACAATTTATATGCATATTTTGATGAAAGGTGTGTTCTTTTTACATACTTTTATTTCTTCTTTATGTACAATGCGTATGTACCATTTTTTGTATGTTTATATACCTGCATGTCTATATATATATATGTATAAATACTGCATGTATGTGAAATATTTTTTTCACATCCAGAGTAACTAAGTCACAGTTTAGTGACAGTGAAGAGTAAAATTCTGACCTTACTGAGGTTTCCAGGAAACTCACCGATTTTTTTTTTTATTTTTATTTTTTACTTTTTTTTATTTTTTAATATTGAAAAATTTAATTTTATCCAATTACATTGAAGGCAAGCAAAAGCCTTGGAAGGATATCTTTACAATCAATCTCATTACTGTCTTCTGACAGCATTAAGCTTGACATTGTAAATTTATTTTCTATTTTAAAACTGCATGTTTATTAGAACTGGCAATACATTTTGCACTTCACTATGGTTTATTTCTAGATTTTTTACTCTTCAGGATATTTTAATTAGAGCATGTCATTGTAAGTGTCCATGGTACTGTAGAAAGTGCTTAATGTTTTCAGTTGTGGATAGGGATAAAAAGTATGAAAAATATTCAGGGACTTAATTAATTCAAACATTATTTTAAAGCAGTGGAACATTTTGTTTCACATTTTATTTCATTTCTAAATAAAACTTTAAGGTCTTTCAAAATCAAAATGTTTCCTGATTTAATTTATTGAACTGATTCTACCAAAACATGTGTGAGTCCTGTGTGGAGAGAGGGCCATCTGCAAATGGATCCAGCCCTGTGATCCACTGTCCTCAGGAGACAAGATAACCCAATAGGAAATACATTGAAAATTAATATTTCAGGTCATTTCTTCAAACCAGAGTAGTCAGAATCAGGTCACACCAGGCAACTGTAAATATGTATTTCAGGATTTTTTGTGATACAAAACATGAGAAAATGTAGGGAAAAGTCTTCTGAGAAATATTTAGGCATTGGAGCAGCAGTGCTTTTCATCAGAAAGCCTTCTGATGAGACTTTCTGATCAGTTGCAGGGATCTGATCATTCTTAGGATCTCTGGACTGTACGTGTACATTGCTAAACTGCAATAGCTGTATTGTCTTGCTGCTGTGAGCCATCTTCCTGGTGGCTCCAAGGGCTTGTGATATGACAGAAAAGTCAGCTGTCATGAAAAGCCTTTGGAATTGTGGATCTCCCAGGATAACAGCAACAGGCCTAACAATTGACTGTGTTTTCCCTTACTCTTTACGTTATGACATGTCATCAACTGCTTTTGTGTTCAGAACGTGATCTTTTCATATCTGAGTAGCCTTTTGAATGTGAAAGCATTCCTTCCAACTTGGGGACATATGTTTATCCTACAACTTGATATTTCAAATTCTCCAGAGTTTAAAAATGCTGTTTGTGAGCATCTCTAGAGAATTGCCATGAGTTTCAGTCAAACGCTACAGATCTTCTGTGAACCAGGACATGACCTTGAAAATTCATAAAACAACAGAAATAATTTGTAAAAGTGATTTATAAATATGAATGAAATCTTCAAATACTATGTCCTTTAGACTGAATGCCTCAAATAAGTACTTGAATAGAAGGAAAAAAAGATTGCTTCTCTCCACAGAAAATGATAGCTTTCCAGTGTTGCGGCAGATTCTCTGGATTTCTAAACATCTTATTATTATGATTTCTCAGTAAAGCACGCTCCTCCTGCTGATATCTCAGAATCCAAGACATTTCAGTGAAACCAGTAATTTATTTATGGATTATATTTTTTCCAAACCCTTCTTCAATGACAGTACCACTTGCATCCCTAAGATAATTGATTCCTGGGGAGAGAGAATCATAAATAGAACTTTAGCATTTACCTAAGCAACAAGTTACTGTTTTACAGTTATTGTTATTATTGTATCATAGCAATTGTAAGGTTTTAGGTGAAAAATATTGACCGTGTATTCTGATGGCTGTTGGCAGCAGTCCAGAGTCGTCTGTCCTTCTCTCTGCTTTGGATTCCTGGGCTGCTGAAGAGCTCTTGAATGGTGACTTGTAATCTGTTGACAGTCAAAGCCAGCTAGCAAAAGCAGAATTAACACTGGAGAAAGCAAGAAATGATTAGACGTTGTATTGAGGGATGTGGTTTAGTAGTAAATATTGGTGGACGATTGGACTGGATGATCTTAGAGATCTTTTCCAACGTTGGTGATTCTATGATTCTGCGAATGTTAGTTAGATGTTTCTAAAGATGTGGATTTAGTTGAGAGGTCAGAGCCAAACAGTGTCACATGACTCCATTTAATAGAGAAGATACTTGATAGCTTTTTATACCGAGTCTGAGTAGACTGGTTTTGGCTTTGCGTTTGCTATTGTAGAACAGCAGAAGACTTGTTTCAAGAAGTGACCAGGCTGGCTATGAGTTTGGTTTACTTAGATGTTTTCACTAGTGATTGTGTTTCTAGAACAAACATGGCTCATCTTGACAAAGAACTGTGGAGCACTGTGATTACTCTGTGTGTATGGAACGCTTTCAGATAGTCCCTAATAGGGAAAAGAGTAACAAAGAATAATAGGAGTGCTGACATTGTTTATGGAATATGTTGTTGGATTGTTCACTGGGATTCTGTGCGTGCTGCTAAGCTCAAAATATACTTCTTTTTTTCTACCAGAAAAAAAACTGTATTATTTGGACCAAATGTCCAAGGAGAAGAAAAAAGAGGATTGAGAGGAAAAGTGTGGGGGAAAAAAAAGGGTAACTAAATAGTAAAGCTGGAGCTAGTGCTGAGGAATTGTGAAAAACAATCTTTCTGTCTCACCTTTTTATTTAAAGGGCTCATTATTGCTTCTCCAAGTACATTTTTATCCTCTAGATTATTTTCTTCAGTAGATAGCTTAATTCGGGAACAGGCAGATAGTACCCTCTCTGCAGCAATTTGTATTTCAGGTCCTGATAAAGCTTCCTGTTGGCAACAGGGTAGGAAATGAAACCCCTCTTTTTGCAATCTAGAAAAACAAACAAACAGAAAAACAAAGTAGACCTACTAAGGTGTAGTGCTTAGTGATCTCTCTCACAAGTGACTGCTGCTCTAGCACGTAAAAAATGTCAGACTTTGTATCATGAAGACTCCTATAGATCTTCATTTGAAATAGCTGTACTATTTCTGCTTCTACTCCAGCCAGTCTGTACTGACTTTTTCAAGCATCACAAGCAGAAATATAGCAGAGGGAACTTACTTGGATTCCTGGAAGATAGAGTATCTTGAATAGCCCTTGTGAGCATGTCAGGAATGCCAACAACCTCACCAGCAGCTATAGTTTCCTGGAGCACGTCTTTTCAAACAGAGCTGTGTCTGCATGGAAGTGAGTTCATGGAGCTTTGTGAGTACTAAGCACAAGGATACTTGGCAGCTGTATTGGTGTCCAAGCATAGTTGTTAATAGCTTCCTACAAATCAAAAGGGGAAGAACATATCATTCCTTTTTGTTCTTTTCCCCTTTTTTTTCCACCAGCTGTTGACTTTTGAATCCAGACTTTGCCAGAACCATTGGCACTTGTAGCTGGACCTCTGGTCTAGTCCAGTTATGTCTGAGTTTTGCTTAGCTTTATATAGCTAGCTATGGAAATATCGCTATGTTGGTTGGATCTGAAGCCTAGTAACTATTACAAAGTGCAAAGGGATGTGAATCTATTTTGTTGTTGTTAAATTAAAAAACAATAAATGAAGGGAACTATTTGTGAATATTTGTTTTAGGGAACAGCTGTGAACTGCAAGCACTGGAACACTGAAAAATGCTTAATACATTTGATTGGAAATCTGAATTTGGTTTTTTACTTTGAGATTTGCAATTAGTTATGCAGTTTCAAAATGCAATTCCACTGTAAGGAATATCTTTTTTTTCCTGCCATTTTCCCATTGCCTGCCCCCAAGCTTTTCTTGTGAAGTCAGGGTATTTCATAAACTATTATTACGTTGCTTATTTATTTAAAAAGAAAATAATCCTGCCACTAAATTTGTCCCTTCTGGTGCTATTTCACTGCATTTTTGAAATACAGAGTATAAGAATAATGCCTTGATAACTAAAATATCCAAAATATATTTGTTGTTACAAAAGGATAAATATTGTTGATAATCAAAATGTATTACCTATTATGTCAGATTATCATGCAGGTAAA